CTCATACAAGAGCCAACTTGAATCCATCATGTCCGGCACGTCAGAGGGTTTCTCAAGAAGCCTACATATGACGCCATGTGAATCGGGCTCTTGAATGGTGGGAGGGACCTCTTCAATGATGACAGTGGCCTCTTGAACGGTGGGAGGGGACTCTCGAGGAATGATAGGGGGGGCCTCTTCAACGATAGGAGTGGACTCTTGAGGGATGACAGGCGAGTCGGGCTTCTTCTTGCGGTGTCTTCGCACTATTGGGGTGTACGGAGACTTAATAGCACGTGCACGCTGTCTGATGCGTGAACTCCGTCGTGCAAGCATAACCCGACGTAAAGCATCCACTCTATCGGGCCGCTAAATAATTAAATACAAAAATCAGTAAAAAACAGACATGATATTTAAACAGTGAAAACAAAGACAAATATGTTTCAAACTTGCATTGTATTCACCCAAGTCATTATTCTATCATAGTTCACAAAATACATCAGATAACAAAGAAAAATATGTTTCAAACTAATACCCTGAAGTTAGTATTTGTCTTTGTTTTGTCTTTTGGTTGAAAGTAAATTTATCCATTCAAGTTTCAATTTGCAGAAGAAGAAATAGTTTACTTTCGCAACACGAAACTTAAAATCGCAACGCGAAACCAAAATCGCAACGCGAAATGAAAATCGCAACGACAGAATCGCAATGCGAAATGAAAATCGCAACGAAAGAATCGCAACGCGAAATGAAAATCGCAATGCGATTTTGGTTTCGCGTTGCGATCTTGTCGTTGCGATTTTGGTTTCGCGTTGCGATTCTGTCGTTGCGATTTTCATTTCGCGTTGCGATTTTGGTTTCGCGTTGCGATTTTAAGTTTCGTGTTGCGAAAGTAAACTATTTCTTCTTCTGCAAATTGAAACTTGAATGGATAAATTTACTTTCAACCAAAGACAAAACAAAGACAAATACTATTTCACAGTGTTAAAGAATACACAGTTTAGCAGAATTGGCAGCAACCGAACAAATTTACTTTCAACCAAAAGACAAAACAAAGACAAATACTATTTCACAGTGTTATAGAATACACAGTTTAGCAGAATTGGCAGCAACCGAACAAATTTACTTTCAACCAAAAGACAAAACAAAGACAAATACTATTCAGTGTTAAAGAATACACAGTTTAGCAGAATTGGCAGCAACCGAACAAATTTACTTTCAACCAAAAGACAAAACAAAGACAATACTATTTCACAGTGTTATAGAATACACAGTTTAGCAGAATTGGCAGCAACCGAACAAATTTACTTTCAACCAAAAGACAAAACAAAGACAAATACTATTTCAGTGTTAAAGAATACAGTTTAGCAGAATTGGCAGCAACCGAACAAATTTACTTTCAACCAAAAGACAAAACAAAGACAAATACTATTTCACAGTGTTATAGAATACACAGTTTAGCAGAATTGGCAGCAACCGAACAAATTTACTTTCAACCAAAAGACAAAACAAAGACAAATACTATTTCAGTGTTAAAGAATACACAGTTTAGCAGAATTGGCAGCAACCGAACAAATTACTTTCAACCAAAAGACAAAACAAAGACAAATACTATTTCAGTGTTAAAGAATACACAGTTTAGCAGAATTGGCAGCAACCGAACAAATTTACTTTCAACCAAAAGACAAAACAAAGACAAATACTATTTCAGTGTTAAAGAATACACAGTTTAGCAGAATTGGCAGCAACCGAACAAATTTACTTTCAACCAAAAGACAAACAAAGACAAATACTATTTCACAGTGTTAAAGAATACACAGTTTAGCAGAATTGGCAGCAACCGAATAAATTTACTAAGCAATCTAAGTGAAATGGCTAATCTAAGTGAAATTACGAGTAAATTTATCATTAAGTTAAATATGGAAAATCTTAAACTTACCTCGTTGCGTAGAGTATGAACCTCATTCTGCAACGATATCATCTCCGTAGAGCGGCAACCTCACCACGTAAAGTTGACACCTCCACACGCCATGCACCATCGTTATCGCGTAGAGTACCGATCTCCTCACGCAAGGCATTGACCTCATCACGTAACTCCCTTGACTCATCCCGTTGAGGTGGAGGTGGAGAACAGGGAGATAGGAGTCGTGGCATCTTTGCCGGTCGCCTATCATGAGGTGACGGTGGAGAAGAGGCTCGATGATGTGACGGGATAGGTGATGGCTCTCGTTCTAGAGGTGTATAGTCGGGTCGATCGGGTGATGGCTCTAGGTGAGGTGATGGCTCTCGAATTGGAGGAAGTGGATGCTGCTCATCATCCGTGCCATCAAAAAAATTCTGACTAGCTTGCCACCAATCAGTGGCAAGCTCTTCCTCCGTGGGTGTCAGTCTTTGTAATGGAATGTTAGCCTCCTAAAATATAAAAACTCAAACAAAGTTAAACGTCTACTATTAATAACTTGTTATATATTATATGAAAGTATTTGTGTTAACTTACATTATTTATTGTGGCATATGGTATTAAGTCTTCCCAATCCAACAGAGTTTTCCTCTTCCAGGAAATAGCCCTGGGAATATCATTTGACGTTTTTATTGCATATGTACGCATGCTGGGGAAAGCCTCGAATATCCAAATCTACAAACAATATAATAACAAAATTAGTAATTGTTAAATAATTAATTATAATTTTAGAAACATTATATAGAAATTCTTACCTTAAAGGCCCAAACAAAGCCTGACAAAGTGTATTTGGACCCATCGCCCCGCAAACTTTTGCGGTCATCAAAGGCAGACGACAACTTAGTCCAGGTAGCTTTCCATATATACGAACCCCACGGAAACAGATTCCATGCATTCAGGTCCTCTACCAATATTATTAGCTCCCGATGAATAGGTTGTCTGGCCTCTCTGCCTAAAAAGCCGGCATACACAAGTAGTAGAAGGCATACTCGGACAACATCGAGTCATCCATCCGAGTGAAACCAGCTTTCTTATTAAACAATTTCTTCAGGTCGTCGACATGTAGGTTCGGCTTCTCCATTGACTCATCCGGAAAAACCGGATAACCATGATGGGCGGGCGATATGACGAGTGTACCGGCCTACATCATCGTGTCCGAATCGTAGACCAGTGATTAAGCAGAACTCCTTCCGCCCAAAACAAGTATACGCTGGTGGAAAATGAAACCATATCTCTTCCTCACCACGTTGTATACTGTCGGGTAGATTTGATGTCATGGTCTGAAGCCACAAATGGGTCAAATTAGCATCTCCACCCGGATGCTGTACTCTCAGCCATGGCCCGAAGCAGGTTTCCTCAAACAATTGTCTTTGAGCAGGTGAAAGCTTCTTTGCAATTGTAGTGGCCAGGCTGACTTTATTTCTCAAGGTCAATTGAGCCGAAAAAAATTTCTACAAAAACAATAAACATACCAAGTTAGATATACCAAAAACTACACTGTGAAGATATACCAAAAACAATAAACATAAAAAGTAGTAGTTTATTCTTGAAACTAAAATTTGCAACACTGTTTTGTCTTTTGGTTGAAATGAAAATCGCAACGAGAGAATCGCAACGCGAGATGACAATCGCAACGAGAGAATCGCAACGCGAAATGAAAATCGCAACGACAGAATCGTAACGCGAAATGAAATCGCAATGCGATTTTGGTTTCGCGTTGCGATTCTCTCGTTGCGATTTTCATTTCGCGTTGCGATTCTCTCGTTGCGCTTTTCATTTCTCTCGTTGCGACAGTCATTCTCTCGTTGCGATTTTCATTTATCTCGTTGCGATTCTTCTGCAAATTGAAACTTGAATGGATTGCATTACTTCAACCAAAAGACAGAACAAAGACAAAGACAAATACTAACTTGAAAATCGGAACGAGAGAATAGCAACGCGAAATGAAATCTAAGTGAAATGGTTAATCTATTATTGAAATGACCAGTAAACTTATCATCAGTTTCAATATGAAAAACCTACAATAATGCAAACATTTCAAATAAAAATAATTAAAAAACTAACCCTCGGAGGTTGATTTTCCATTTCTGAATATTGTGAGGGATTTCTGACCGTGAATGGTTGTGAGGGATTTCGCCGGAGATGGAGACGGAAATCTTCGGAGATGGGGGACGGATTTCTTCGCCGTAGAGAGTGAGAGATGGAGATGGGACTGAGTTGTGATTTTAGGTTTTAGGTTATGAGTTGCGATTACGGGATTTTGTCTTAATATTCTTTTTGTAATTTGAAAATAAAATACGCGTAGCGATTATAATGGCGCTTTAAATATCGCGTTGCGATTTACGGATACGCGTTGCGATTTTATGTATTATCGTTGCGATTTACGGATACGCGTTGCGATATACGGATACGCATTGCGATTTACCCATACGCGTTGCGATTTACGGATACACGTTGCGATTTACGGATACGCGTTGCGATTTATGTGTTCGCGTTGCGATTTTCATATTCGCGTTGCGATTTTGGAAAATCGCAATGCGATTTTCATATTCGCGTTGCGATTTTGGAAAATCGCAATGCGAATTTGTACTATCGCATTGCGATTTTCAAGAATCGCGTTGCGATTTTGGAAACTGATTTGCGATTCTGGGGATCGCGTTGCGATTTTTATTTCGCGTTGCGATTTTGTTGGTCATTTTGGCAAATCCAAAAAAAGTTGGTTAAAATCGTATATTATAACTTTTTTTTGGTCACTGAGGCGATTTTCTCTTGTACAAATGTATATATTTGCATACGGTGAGACTGATTTCATGTTTACTAAGGAATAAGATAAATTATAAATATATCGACCTTAAAATGATAAGAAAAATAAAGGTGCAGGAAATGCTGATCAGTTATTAGATATCTAAAACAAGAAAAAGATATAATTTACACACTTATCAGTTAAACCTAATTTCTGGTAAAATTTATCAACAAAAACCCACACAATCTTATAAACTTGAAAAGCAAATGATTAAGAACTGGAGAAACATACCTTATAATAAACAATTTTTTATAAGAAAAATCTGAGCCAAAGCTTCATTTCTAATAAAACTATAAATGCTTGATGCAAAGAGAACACTCTTTACAATATGGTTTTTTTTCCTTCTGAAAAAACTACAAACTCACTCCAAATCTAAGACCCAACTAACACATTATTACATCGGACAGGAAACAATTAAATTTGCAGTTGAACTCTGTGTCGCTTACCTTTTTTGGTGTCCGTTCGATGGTCCGAATCCTGTCGTATACCCATTGGCACCACATGATGGATTTGAATAGCATGGGTAACCATCACCTTCTGCATTCCCCATCTGAAGAAATGATAGCTCGGAAGAAGTCATCGGCCACTGAGTTTGGACCAATCCATCATGTTGTCCATTGGCATAAGGTTGGTGGTTCGATTGTGGAGTAAATTTCCTCAGTGTATCAATATGGTTGCAAGATGAGCCACTGAAACTTCGTTGGAACCCATCATCATGGTAACTTTGTGCTCGCTCAAACCTGCACGAGCCACATGAGGTTCCCATTTCACCCGACATGCCCAAATTGGATGGAAAAGAAAAATGGCGGGCTAATAAATGTGACCCGTTGTCAAGAGCATGGAAGCCTGTTCCTGCCCTACCTGTCCTCCCAACATTGTGCTCGTCATCAAGCAATTCGTTGATGATATCAAGATGCGGAAACTCGTCTGCCGAGACACCTTGGGTCGGACGTCCAGGTGTACCAACCGGAAACTCATTTGAGAAGTGTTCCCGGGATCCATTATACATGGATTTATACAAGTCAATGTTTTGGATCTCACTAATCAACGAAGGAACAGGCTGCATACTTCTTCCATTCCTCTGAGAATTGTCCGTCCACTGGGGTGCATTCGGTAGGATATCACGATCAACCATGCCAAAAGGAAAGCCCAATTGGACAGAATTTGGCTGCATTCTATCAGAGCTCTGGGACATATACGCTGGTCCAGGTACCAAGGCAGGTGATTGCGAGTATACTGGTAATGCGTTGACTCCTGATCTAGGGGAGATAGGATGAGTAAAACCAGATGAACCAGAAGCAACATGATTACCCATCATGGCATTTCTGTAAGATTGAGGAACATAACTAGTAGCTGCAGATGGCACAGAAGAGTCGGGCCCTAAAGATCCAGCTGCACTCGCTGAACGAGCTAGAAATGTAGTTGTTTGAACCATAGAAACAACAGGAACAGCTGGCCTTGGACCAGGAACTAGACCACTCAACGGCCTTGACATCACAGACTCTTGTGGAGTTATAGGTTTTTCAGTTGGTCTCAATGTTGCAGCCTTCTGAGTCTCAGATTTTAATGTGCCGTTCATTTGGAATGTAGTCAAAGATGCCGGTTGATCACTCTGTTGCAGGCTATTTGACGATATCGTACTAACTGGAATAGAACCTACACTGCTGGTACTCCTGTATTCGGACCTGAACTGAGCAGAAGGGGGCAGATTTCTGGGAGGGCTTCTCGATGAGGATAATTTAGCAGCCGTCTTCTCTTTAGGTCTTTCTATATCAACTGCATCTGGGATGCTTGGTTTCTTTTGTGGCAAATCAACTTCTTCCTATTACATTGACAAGATAAATGTCAATCATTCATAAAGCTCGAAAAGTAGTACAATTGTAGAGAAAAAAATGTTAACAGCTTAATGAGAATACAAATATATGAATGCCCCACCTTCTTAACAGTAACCTGCTCAACCCACTTTGTCTGATCCGACAATGAAGGAACGGCAGCCTCAGATTCACCAACCTTGCTACTTTCAATAACTTCGATTTGGTCCTCAGCAACCAATGTAGGGCAAGAAGACTGATTACCAGATTCTGTAATCTGATTATTGCCGCCATTTGATGTTTTACTTCGCTGGTTCTTTCCTCTACAAGTTTAGAGACAGATGAGATAAACACCTTATCTAATCATTTTAAGCATGCAAAGAAACCTAAGCAACACTTTACCTGCTCGGTGATTTTTTATTTTCGTTGCTTGAAAATGAGTTCCCTTTAGAGGGCCCATTCATTACGACTGATGGTACTGAGTCTGTTAAATGTATTGATGAACTATCATCCGTCATAGATGGGCTCCTTTTATCAGTTACTTCATTTTGTACACATCCTAGTCCACTTATGCCACTGGATTCTGTGGGTTGATGAATTTCTGATGTATCTGTCTCACAATTAACAGGACTAGAATCTTTGTCTTCTGAGTCAGGCTGAATAACTTCGGTGGCACCATCAACCGAGTCGGAGACATCAGAAACATCACCCAGAACGTCAGCCTTTTCAGGCACTGACTGCTCCACCATCATAGAGGCTTCTTTCTCATCATCAGGTTGGCCTTCTAAGTGCTTTTCCTGTGCTACCACAAAAGCCTTCTCCCTTCCCTTATCTTTGCTTTTTCGATTATTACGCTTTTGCTTAGCCTGCAGTATGTAAGCATCAGAAATTGTGATGCATTCAGAATAGAAGATAGCTTCACAATTTTTCTCCACCCTAACGAAAGGGAAAACATATAACACGCTTGGAATTGCTTAAAAAAGTAAAATAGGGGATCATTCTGATAATCACCAGAAGAAGAAAAAAAACACACACACACACACAATAAAATAAGTCTGGAATATGTCAACCATATTTTATCATTTTTGTTTGGCTAAGGTGGTCAAAGGATAGTGTTTATTATGATTTCTGCTTCAACAAAACCCAAAAAAATAAAATAAATATGAGAACAAAAAGGATTATACCTGTTTTTTCTTTGACTTTTTCTCCTTCTCGGATGCTCCTTGTTTAGCCTTCTGCTCACTTTCAGCCAGCCATGCAGCTTCTTCACGGATGAGTTCTTCTTGCCTTTTCAAAGCAATAGCCTCCTGATAGGCAACTTCTATCTTGTTGCTGTATATAATAAGCCAAAAATAGAGCATATATGGGTAGAAATAAGGGAGTTTCAGTATCATCCACTAAAACTTCTTGGAGATTGCAGAACAGAAGTTTGAAACATGGAAACTAAGAATACAATCTTTCCACTAAGCTCACAAAAAAAGAGGTTTATAAACTCATGACCAACTGCACCGCCACCTTAATTTGTGCACATAAAACATCAGAAAATAAGAAAATGACCTATTTCTAGAAAGAGAGCTGATAATTTTATAAGATATAGTATAACTCCTCGCCTCGTGCAGATATAGCTAAAGAAAACTGCCAGTATTTGTTGAATGCAAAATCAAAAATATATGGTACCTAAAAATATGAGCAAGAACAAATATTTCCACTGTCCTGCGACCTAATTCTGTAAGACGCCTTTCATCATGCTCAATTGAATCCTTGTTGAGATCCTCTCCAGAATTTTCATCCTATATAAAATGAAACAACCAGGTGAAAAGGGGAAAATCTGAAACGCAAATCTCATACTCAAAAACCAAAAACAAATTAATGTACAGGGAAATACTATGTTTATTATTACTGTAAAAAAAAAGGAAAAAACAAAAAATAAATATGCCAGTCAGGGGCCTGAAGCATCTTCCCCAGAGATACCAACAGCAAGAGAGAAATCATGTATGTGAAATAGAAGTGAAAAGATCCACAAAATATGTTTTTTCATCAACTAAAACAAGTTTAAAATGGAACCCATATAATGTTATTATAACCTTCCATCCATACAGAAACTTACCTTTGTCCGGTTCTGAGGACCTTTCTCATCTTTTGGAGGTAGGGGCTCCAAAGCAACCCTTTCTAGGAGTAGTAGCACATCATCCACTAACAAAAACATATCTTTTTCCACACGAGCAATTGGAGCTGGAATTTCTTCAGCACCCAATAATTTTGACTTTGCTTTCTTGCTCTTGCTCTGGCCTTCTAGAGCCTTCAACCCACTATAAAGTGAATCCATTACCAATGTAGATGTTACTTCTTTCTCTATGAAAAAGTGCTTCACAACTACTTTCAAAATAACATCAGTTTTCTCTCTGGACATTCGATGCCGGGAATTTTGGTCAATCCCCAACCAGAAAGCACAGAAGCTGCAACAATCGCAAACAAATAGTTGCAGAAAAAAGGCAACAAAAAGATATCAGGCGATAACCCAATGAGAAACAAAATCACCAAATATATGCCCTTAAAAAAGAAGAATCACTAAGTTAAAAACAACTGATGCCACCTTTGATATGTAAAGTAAAGGCAAGAAGGAATTTGATACTTCAAGAACATGTAAATTTAAACAGAAATTCAGGCAATGGTAATAGGAAGTAACCGATTTATTAGAAAACCCTGTAAATGGAAAGCATTCAAGCATATGTCCTAAAAAACAGTCAGAACTTGTACTCAGTGTTATACATGAGTAATATGCTATTAAAAGTACAAAGTGTAAAAGCATTTACCTTGACCACCTAGCTTTGTCCTCTATCAACTTCCCTATCATTTGTCGTCTCTCATCCAAAAAACGACAACAGATTTGCTCTACATTTGTCAAATATACTCTGACAAGTTCTCTCCGATATTGACAATCAAGGCAACGAAAAGGACGGTCTGCTTTCTCCCTACAAATCCAAAACAAAGCATTAAATTTGATCACCAAGGGAAACAACTAAATCAGGTGTAAACAATAACACAACACATCATCCCAAGGCCATAACTCCAAAATAAGGACACAACTAAGGAACCTTCTTTGACTATAACACCCTCATTACCAAGCCAACTCCATCATAAAAGATATAATAAAAAGGCCGATTGAAACAATTATCACTGTACAGTTTCACCCTGAATCTTAAATTTTCTAAAATTGGGATTACTTGGGTAAGCCATGAAGAATTTATTTTTCTTTTCTTTTTTTTTGGGGGGGGGGGTGTGGGGGCAAAGTTAAAACTTTTTAGGAGGCGAAAATGTAAATATTATATTGTATTAATTTAAAAGTTTGCAATTTTTAAAGAAACTAAATCACACTATCGTTTTTGAGGGGGATAAAACAATTTACCATTGTAATCATTTAAAATGTTTATAAACTTCAGGGGACTAAAGAGTAATTTCACCATTTAGGGGGGCCAAGACCGCTGCCAACCCCCCCTGGTGCCGTCCCTGAAGCTAAAGTTTATATATGCACTGCTACTACTTGTATAAAGGGCCAAAGATAATTGGAAGGACTTACTTAGCTATAAATCATAAAGGTTACCTAATAACAGTAAGCAAGGAATAATCATGAAAGAGGAAAACAGGAGAATCCACTGGGTGAACTGGAGTTCGGTCTGCAGACCATTAAATTGTGGTGGATTAGGTGTTCTTGATTTGAACCTCACTAATCGGGTTCTACTAGGCAAGTGGGTGTGGAAATTTGCCAATGACAAAAATTCCCTTTAGAAAGGCGTGTTGTGCAGCAAACATAAGGTCAGCTGCAGTTCAATGTCTATTAGGGAGGTATCTCATCCTCAATCATCTTGGATTTTGAGAGGAATAACTAATAACTATTTGAAGAATGATTCGGTAGGAGATTGTCTCAGGTCAAATTCGAAATTGAAAGTAGGAAATGGCAAGTCTATTTCTTTTTGGAATGACGTTTGGGCAGATGAGTGTTCTCTCAAATTCCTTTTTCCAAGAATTTTTGTGCTCTCTCCTAATAAAGAGGGGAAAGTTGAGGAGTTTGGTAGCTTCGAATCGAGTGGTTGGGTGTGGAATGTCCAGTCTAGGAGAAATTTGTGCGATTGAGAATTGGTCCAATGGTTGGAGTTGATGTCTAAGTTGAAGGATATTCAACTTTCAGAAATTGTGGATGATTTTTTATCGTGGACAGCTAGTGGAGATGGATTGTTCTCAATTAAATCTTGTAGAAGCACTCTTGGTAATATGTCTGGGGGTACTGCTGTGTGGACAAAAGGGGTTTGGTTGGGCTTTGCACCACCTCGGGTGGAAGCTTTCCTTAGGCAGCTTGCTCACCAGAAAGTAGCAGTCAAAGTTGAGTTGGTTAAGAGAGGTCTACCCCTAGGGGATGATATTCTGTGTCCATTTTGTAAGAAACAGGAGGAATCTGTGCAGCATCTATTCATCACTTGTAATGTTGTTTGGGAATTATGGAATAAAGTAGCTAGTTTTTGGGAAATTGTTATGGTTCTACCACAAGATCCTCCTTCTCTTCTTTGTTCTTGGGGTGAGTTGAGGGAGAAATCTACGATTTGGAAGTTTATTCCGGGAGTCATTTTCTGGTCTATATGGAAACATAGGAACGCAATGGTGTTCGAAGGAATTCTTTTAGACAGAGTGTCACTGTTCTTCATTGTTAGATTCAGGCTTGCTAAATGGTTCCATGCCAAATTTCCGGGTATTAATATACAAGAGGATGTGCTGATTGGTAATCCATCTCTTGCAGATGGTGTTTCATCTTGTAATGTTAAAGATTGTATTGTCTTTCGGTGGTTACCCCCCCAGTAGACTTTCTAAAGATGAATGTCGATGGAGCTGTTAGGCAGAACGATTCGGGTGGAGGTATAGGAGGCTTATTAAGAGATTGGAATGGTTGCACTCTTTTGATTTTCTCAGAGAGTATTGGTCAAGCAATCCCCCCACTTGCTGAATTAAAAGCTATAAAAAGAGGCATGGATATTTTTCTGTATTCTCGGTGGGCTTCAGTTGGTAGGTTGATCGTTGAAAGTGATTGCTCGTCTGCAGTGGAATGGATTCAGTCCCCGACTCTGGCACCTATTTTTTTCTTGCCTATTGTTTATCAGATTTCGAGTCTTATCTGTGGAAAGGTTCATTCAGTAAGGTTGATTCCAAGGGAGTGTAACAGAGAGGCAGATAGCTTAGCAAAGAAAGGGATAGGTTGATTGTAAGGGTCTATTTGTGGTTTTCTTGACCAACTGTGTAGGTTTTATGTTGGGAGGAGTGTTTAAGTCTTATGTCAAGCAATTTAGTGCTATTTTTAACTTTTATGTAATGTTCAATATTAATAAAAGTTCCAAGGCACTCTTTTCCTCCTTCCTATGATTAACGACCTTTCTTCAAGGTCTTTAATTTAAGAAGGGGGTTTTTAACGAGGCCTTTCATTCCTATAAAAAAAAAGGAATAATCATGAAAGCATTTTATGTAGAACTATAGGCAGAAGTTTGCTTATCATAAATCTATGCTACTCAAACTTAGGTATGAATGTCAGATATAGGTATGTGTCCAATGAGGGTATGTTTAATTTTTCAAAGTTTTGCATGCATTTGGCGGGCTCTTGTAGAGTCATATCCCCAGATCAATGTATGAATGTGTCAAATACTGATGCCGGACATGGGTATGCCAAGAAAAATGGAGTCAAAGCAACACAATCATAAATTACTGATTACTTGATGACTTGAACTTGAGCTTTTATGATAAGTGTGTCAGATTCTATGAATCCATCATAAACTTTAGACAGCTCCATAAACTTTTTCCAGCCCCAATCATGCTCCTTCTTCCAGAATCGATGTAAAGTATCTGCAAACCAATTGCAAGTTACTCGTAGCTCACAATTTCTATTAGCGCTATTAAACTAAATTTGAGCCAACCAACCTGAATATTTTGATTTCTTTGGATCTTTATTCACAACAGCTATTGTAAACTGTGCAAAATGACTCCAACCTGTCTCAGAATAGAAACAAGGAACCCTATTAAGTACAACAACTTAAGAGAAGAGTAATGATAATAAGCCTAATGTGTAGTTTATGGAAAATATAAAACCTGGAAGCAATTGGTCATGATTAGCAACACAGAGAAACAGAGAGAGATGATTGCAAACGTCACAGCCTTGTGGATAAATTAAAATGTACCTGTAAACCATGGGAAATGGCTCAAAACAAAACTGGACAATATACCCTGATAAAAAGATGTTTTTATGAGAAATATTAAGCTTACAAGATTTATATATTTGTTTGTACAACATATAATCCACATTAAATTCCACTATGATGGGAAAGACTAGGAATTCTAGAATGACAATTATGAAATGGAGAAAAAAAAGTAGAAGCTTAACAATCAAAGTTATTTGAAATACCATACCACTTGTAGCCACCAACTTCAAAAACATTACTGCGAAGTTCTCTTTTGTTAATCTGTGAAAATTTCTCTATCTTCCACGTATACTTTCCATATAAATCAGGAGGTTTCAACCCTATAAAAGATGTGAACTCAGCTTTAGAAGTTTTGATCATAAAAAGAAAGGAAGAAAACAAGAATATATTCCAAATAGTTCAACTTAAAATAGCAATACAAAAAAGCACTGGTTAAAAATACTTCTTTAAATATTCCCTGCTCAATTTAGTTTGAGCTTTTAGTACAATCAAAAAAGTCCCGAACAAGCACAATACTTCTCTAAATATTATGTATCAGGAAGAAACAGTTTCTAGTCAATAGTGCCTCCTAGAGCTCCAGGAGACATTTAAAAGAGAAAAGGAAAATATAAAGAAAAAAAATCTATGTAAATAATTTATTAGCCCTAAGATCCAATTGCTAGAATAGATATCGTTAGTCCTTCAATTTTACAAGTCTGGGAGCAAAAATTCAAAATCCCTCCTTACTATCTTGTCAACTTGAATATCTAAGGCTACCGGAGATAAAAAAGTTGGGAGGAAAAGAAAAAAGCAATGGTTAGATAAATATCTTCTTAATCTGTCTTTTAAGAGGTGATGTGTCATGAGAATCAGGCTTCAGTACCTAACGTTCTATAACCAGCCATCAATCAACAAGTTAGAGCCTGAAAAACGTAACCTCGCATGAAAACGACAATAAACAAGTCAAAACCATCTATGCTAAAATTACATTCACACTTCAACAACCTAATCCACCGATTGTAACTATGATAAGTCATTTATAAACATTAGAATACAGACAAAAAGTGTGCAAATGACTATCCAAAATTGAATGCAAGCAAATTTTTTACCCATGTAATTCCAAGATTTTAAATTACTGGATCTATATATAGGAGTTTCAATCTAAGACGTGTCAATAAACTTTATAACGGCTGATGATAAATATATAGCATACAAAAACATGTTGTTTGATTCAGGTGTTGGTCTTAATAAGAGGGTTATTTTAGAATCGGATTCAAGTAATGCTTTGAAGTGGATCAAGAATCCGGAACTAAGCTCCCCTATGTTACTATCCTTGGTGAAGGAGATCGTTTCTATAATGGATGGGAAGGATATTACGTTAAGGCAAATCTTGAGAGCTGCTAACTGGGAAGCGGACAGACTAGCTAAGGATGGTATAGGATGATCGTTAGGCTTTGTTTTTGGTGTGTTAGGCTTACATTTCTGCAGGGATTTTGTTTTCAGTCTTATGTAATCAGTGTTAAGGTTTCAGCAGGAATAGGTGTCTAAGTCTTATGTAATTAGGGTTAAGGCTTTTAATGTATGATGTGAGGAATGGCAGTGTATTATTCTCCTGATTAATAAAAGTAGTAGGCACTCTTTTCCCTCTTCCTTTGTCCTTCATGTTACTAATGTAATATGGAGGGCAAGTTGAGGGTTTTTAACGAGGCCTAATATTCTATCAAAAAAAAAGAGCAATCAACAGAACATGAAAGGGTTCTAAACTCATACCACTGTCGTAGTCGTTGTCAGAGTCCCAGTAAGGGGGTGATGTCGAAGGTGTTCCATTTTCAACCTGCTCAGAAGACCGCCACTCTACCAACATTTCCCCTGATCTCAAAACACCCTCCGCATACCTTCCCACTCCAGACTCCTCACTTGAAACCCCAGCCATTTTAGTACTTTAAAAGGCCTTCCAAAACTCCTTGAAACGCCACTCGCTACAGTCAAAAGCACTCAAAATCAGTAAGTCTTGAACCTCAGTTAGAAATATAAAATCATTAAAAACGCCATTTCCCTTTTTTTTTATCAATACTGGAAACACCATGTCCTTATAGGCCAAAGCCCACCATCAATTTTCTAACCTGAGCATCCTAAAATACAAAACTAAAACTACAATTATATCAAAAATTCCACGTCCGTTTACAAATAAAATCACATACGATTTTTAGGTTCATATTCTATCAATAACAAAGTTTTCAGAATTAAAAAAAACTAATTTAATTATCCAAATTTGACGACTACAATCAGACAAATAAAAAAAACAATAAAACCCAGATGAAAAGTCTTAATAAAATCAATAATATTAGCTCAAAAATGCACCAAACAGGATCTTATGAATCAACCCATACGACCCAAATTGATAAAACTATCTAAACAAGACCAAATTAATCTCTTAAATAAACAAAACAGAGATCAGCGTATTGAAAACCCCCAAAACCCCGGTCAAATCAAACCCTAAAATAAAACCCTCAACAAATTGAAGAAAATCGAAATGGCTCAGACGTCATCGTGAAGATCGAATGGGAAATTCGAACCTGATAATGTAGAAAAAAAATTGATAGAAATGTTCCTTTCAGTTCAAATAGAGGCTATGGCAGCTGTAGTAAGAGAACGAAATAGATACAAAGAAAAGCAACCAAAGAGAGAACAGAGAGCAAAAAGAGAGACGACACTGACCTCTTTCTTATTTTGACATTTCGTCATTTCATTCCAAAAAGTTTGAGGGTTAAAAACGTTAGGATAAATACACTCTAAGTCACTTAATTACTAGTTCGGTCGCAAATGGGTCACTTTTTCTAAATTACAATGTAGTGTCTAATATGGTTTGATATAATAGTAAATTTAATCCCTAAAACGTATCTATTTTATCAATTTGATCTTAATTTAAAATAATTCAATAAATATTTCCTATAGAATATATTTTTTATTGTACACTTAGAGGATATCATCCTTCATATGTTGTTCCTGCTTTTGAAGTATCAATGCAGGTTGTGTCGATCGTCAACTAATCTCTTCTTCGGATCATAAGTTTTGTTGCATAAGTACTTTGTAAAGTTACAAGTTAATCTTGTTCAACTATATGATAAAAAGCAGCTATCCAATTACTACTTTAATTTGATGGATTTATTTGGTTTGATAGTATCGTACAAAAGATTAAGTTGTTGAAGTTTTTAAATGTAAAGGGCTAATTTTAGTAAATTATTTCAAAAGTGATAGAATATACAAGATTTAGGTACTGAAATTGTTATTATATCATGTCATGATAAATGTTGATTTTAATTTTAACAACAAAGTGGTTTGTTTGTAATAATATTTTAATTTAGTAACTAAATTATAACATATATAGAAAAAGTGACATGTTTATAATCAAATTGTTGGGATTTTCAGAAGCTCGATTCGACAACCGGAACGGTTTGTAAAGAGGGGTCGGAACGGTTTTTGAGTTTAGGGAGTAAGGAGATTGAAATATAGAAAAGTGCACAACAATTTAGAATGGTTCGACTTTCTAAACCAACTACGTCCACTACCTTAGCTCATCACCAAGGATTTTCCAACAAATTCACTAATTTGTTATTTCTTTTGAGGACAAAGAGATAACCTTACAACTCCCTAGTTTTTCCATGCTAAACTCGAACCTTTCCCTAGTTTTTACACGGGATAAGCTATAACATTTCCCCTTTACAAAAGGATAAAATAAGTAAACAAGAAAACCTCTCTAAGGTAAGTGTTTACAAGATTAAGCTCACAAGAACAAAATATTTACAAGAGAAAGATGAAATAAGAATGAAAAACTCTTCTCTTGTGTTTGATTGCTTGGATAGTTGTTCTTCTTTCTTCTTCAAGTGTCCTTAGCTTGTATTTATAGCTTGGAATGTGTTTGATGTTGTATATAGTTGTTGGGGATGTTTTGGAGTCATTTGGGGATGATTTCAAATTTTAAAATTGAAAATGATTTTCTTTTGAAAACAAAAATAGATTTTGAAAGCCAAAATGAAATTTTGAAAAAGGATTTAGAGCTTTCAAAAATAAAAATTGAAAGTTTTGAAAAAGAAAATTTTGATTTAAAAGTTAAGCTTGAATGCTTAACAAAAGAAAAAGAAATCATTTTAAATAATTCATTTAGTTCAATAATGACAATATGCTCACATTGTCATTATCATGGTCATAAGAAACATACTTGTCATTTGAAGAAAGGAAAACATTTTAAAATTAGACAAGTATGGATTCCGAAAGAAACAAGGGGCATTGAACCTAATGTCCAAGGATCCAAAGCAATTTGGATACCAAAATCAAAATAAATGTCTCTTGTAGGTGTGTGGGAGTAATGGCGATGAAAGTGATGATATTCAAGATGCTCTAGCCACACATGAAAAAGGAATGGGTAACCTCTAAGCTTAATGTTTTTAATTTTGGTTATTTGGTTGCTCATTTGATTTTAAGCATGCTTGAGTTTTGGTTTTAAATGATTATGCATTATTGTTTTAATCTCATGCATGTTGAAAAGATGTTTATGATGAACAATTTTAAAGTTTTAATAATTTTTCATAATTTTTAGTTCATCATAATAAAATTTTGGTCAAAATTGGTTTTAATGAAAATGATATCTCTCTAACAATTTATATCAAATTTTCAAATACTTTGATTTTAAAAATTTTAAATTTTTGACCTAAACTTGAAAGTTTATGCATGTGGTTTAAATGAAAAATGATATCTCTCTAACAATTGATATCAAAAAAATTTCAAATGCATAACATTTTTGGAAAACTTTATGCATATGATCATAAATTCAACAATTGGTATTGCATAAAGTATTTTAGACTTTGATACATTGAATTTCATGAGCTACTAACATGTTTGTTATTCTTTGTTGAAATTCAATTTTGTTTAAGTGTCATGATCTTAAAAGCTAAATTTTGTTTGGAATTCTATTATTGAGGGGGAGCTTTGATTTTTCAAATGATTTTTAAATGTCAAATTTACCACTTACTCTCCAAAGTTATTTTGAACTTCAAAGATTGAATTATTTTTTATATAACAAAAAAGGGGAGAAGTTTGGTTTGAAAAAATCAATTTCTAAATGAAAAAAGGGGAGCTTAACATTTTCATATATTTTCCAATAATTGTTAACAATTTATATCTTTTTCATTAAATAATTTATTAAAGGGGAGTTTTGCCAAAAACAATTTTTCAAATGTTTTGTTATATCAAAAAGGGGGAGATTGTTGAACTATGTTTTGATATAACAATTTAAGGAAAAATGGTTTTTGGACTTGAATTGAATTTACAAAATGTTTTTGGACTTAATTGAATTTATTCAAAGTTTTAAAAGGTTTCAAAAATAAGTCAGAGTCCATTAAATTTGAATTTGAGACAAAATGCTAAAGGGTGTCAAAGTGCATCCATGCACCCCTGCAGTGCATCCGCGCATCCATGCACCTGTACTAGTGCATCGATGCACCATGCAGTGCATCCATGCACTCAAACACCGAATGCAATTAGTGCATCAATGCATCCTTCTGTTCATCGATGCATCAAGGCTGTGCATCGATGCATCTTGTTGTGCATCCATGCACGAAGGTTGCAACGGCTAGTTTATTTGAATTTAATGAAGGGGTATCGATGCACCATGATAGTGCACCGATGTACCATGTTATGGGCAGCCTTTTTGAGTAGAAAAATCATCCCCAAACGGCTCCAAAACATCCCCAACAACTATATACAACATCAAACACATTCCAAGCTATAAATACAAGCTAAGGACACTTGAAGAAGAAAGAAGAACAACTATCTAAGCAATCAAACACAAAAGAAGAGTTTTTCATTCTTATTTCATCTTTCTCTTGTAAATATTTTATTCTTGTGACCTCAATCTTGTAAATACCTACCTTAGAGAGGTTTTCTTGTTTACTTATTTTATCCTTTTAAAACTTTGAATAAATTCAATTAAGTCCAAAAACATTTTGTAAATTGAATTCAAGTCCAAAAACCATTTTGCCTTAAATTGTTATATCAAAACATAGTTCAACACAAATTAATAGATCTAAGTTGTATTTTCAAAATAATAGTATTGAACCAACTAATAATTAAGGGACCTAAGTTGTATTTTACCCAAAGTGTTATTTTATTATAATATTATTGTTATATATTTTCAAAATAATAGTATTCAACTAACAACCATTTGTGTTGAAAACATTTTGATGTTTCGATATAACAAATTAAGTGTTAATGAATTTTATGATTTTATATTTTAATTATATATTCGATTAAATTATTCGAATATCAAAATATTACTCCAAGTTTTCAAATGTCAAATTCAATCTTTACTTAAAGTGTAAAACTGTGTTTTAATCTTAAAATATTTTTTTGAAACAAATTTTACAAAGTATTTCGAGCCTTAATCAAGTCAAAAATATTTTCTTTATAAAAGGATTTCAAGAAAAACCATATTGCCCAGAGGGTACCAGTACCCCTTATAAGGTACCGATACCCCTATGCAAGTTTTGGCTCCGAGAAAAACAGAATGCTCTATGGGTACCGATACCCCTAGTCAATTAACAGTCAAGATATTTGAATTTTACACTGCAGGTACCGATACCCTATGTAGGGGTACCGATACCCCCCACGCTCCCAATTGTTTTATTTAATTGTTTTCACATAATAACGGCTCTATTGACTCTACTAATGATCCCCAACGTTTAAAAGTGATCCAATGAGTATTTAAACAAGCTTAGGAGCCATTGGTCAACAACAATTAAGAAGAATTGAGAGAGAATCAAAGAGAAAGCATCAAACCCCAAGTTTGAGCATTTTCAAGCCTATTTTTCATTCAATATTCATTTTTGCTTTCAAGAACAGTTATTATGCTCAATTGTATTATTCTTGAGTTTTCTTTTTTTGTTCTAAAATTGTTCAAACATCTTGCCTTGTGAGGTTTTTCTGTAAGTTTGCGAAATTTGTATTGTTCTCTTTGGGAAATAGTGTTCTCAAGTTTTTGGGGTATAATTCTTGAGGGATTTGTAAGGTTACTCTTTGTCCTCAAAAGAAAGAAAAATTAGTGAATTTGTGAAAAATCCTTAGTGTGGATATCTAAGGTAGTGGACGTAGACTTTGGTTGAGAAAGTCGAACCAATCTAAATCGTTGTGCAATTATTTTCTATTTTCTGTAAAAGCTTCCTCCAAAATTTTTATTGCCAATTCACCCCCTATTGGCTTCTTCGTCGATCGATTAACTCAATAGTTGGTATCAGATTCTCACTCATTTGAAGGTTTAATCGCCTCTTGAGTCGATTCGGGAAGAGTTATATCGATAATCAAGTCATCAATGGCCTCCACTTCAAACTTCGACTTTGGTCTTGATTCAATGCTCGTCAACAAGCCTCCTTTCTTCAATGGAACTAACTATACCTAATGGAAGAATAGAATGAGGTACTTCATTCAAGCAAGTGACATGGGAGCATGGAATATCATAGAAGACAGATACATCATTCTTTACACTTCTTACAGAACGTGGAGTGAAGCAAAGACAAGATTGTTCCAGCTCAACTCAAAGGCTATCCATATTATTTTTTGTGTTCTTGGACCGGATGAATACGGGAGTTTCATCTTGTAAAACTGTCAATGAGATATGGGATAAACT